TTTTCAAATATTTCGAAAAACCTCGACTTCTCTCGTTTTTAGCCTGCCGTTTTGATTGACCCAGCCCATAGAGAGCTGGAAATCTTCCCAGCAATTAAACTCATTAGGATCCTCGCTCTATATTGTAAGCTGGTACCTTAAAGGCAAGCCCGGGATAAAACCGGTGATAAGAGCGCTTCGTAATGATGACTGAGCTGCGGGACGGCCTGAAAGTGGAAAGGAAAGCTAGAGAAATCTTTGGGATCGCTGAAATTAAGGCCTTAACCTTCAAAAAGGTCGGATGTGGAACGATGGCGAGGCGGTCAAAGAAGACAAAACACGCGAGAGATCACGCCGTTCGAGAGAGCACGCCGATATCGAGGTGGGTGGGAAGCGTTGCAACGGGGGTCGATGGTTGCAGGCCCGTAAGGATTAGCGCCCTAACCGCGCAACTTTTGCGGCGAAGCTGGAGTGATCTAGGTAGGTAGGGACCTTACAATTTCCCTCGCGGTATCCTTCCACAAGTCGGGCTAATCCCGGGGTTTGCCTTTAATGATGTAATAACAACATCTTAACCCTCTGAGCCCTTCTAAATGAGGGAACGAAATGGAACTGGGCTCTTACCTTGCTCAACAACGTGTCCCTCGTCGAATACAATAATTTTGTCGGCATCTCTGATAGTTGACAGCCGATGCGGCTATGCATATAGGTAGTTCGGTTTTCACGTGCCTAAAATTGCCTACTGAGTGAACTTAGACAGTTTTTTCATAATGGGTTGCCAATTCATTTGAGTCAAGCGTTTTCTTCGAAACAATATTTAAGATGAAGATAAAGATATTTAGTATCCAGCTTGTCAATCGTTAACCTTGTCAAGCGCTTTCTGCACTGCATGTTCGCTTTCTGTGTCCAGGGCACTGGTTGCCTTCGTCCAGAAGCAAAATCTGAGGGTTTCTGACGAGAGCTCTGGCGATAGCGATTCGTTGTTTCTGACCGCCTGATAGCTGCACAGCACCCTCACCGATTACGGTATTGAAGCCCTGAATGAAAAAAATTAAGCAAATAAGAAACAAAAGAGCCAAATAATACTTCTTGATATACCATACCTCACTGAGATGGTTGATAAATCCTAAAGCATTCGCGACTTTACACGCTTCCTCAACATCTGCATCAGTCAGGCTGTCGTCTCCCATTCTGAAAACTGTTTTCCATGACTCCATGGAAGTCAACTAATATACGGGAGCGCACCTATAAAATTCCATCAAGGATCTCCGCAGGCTGATGCGTGCATCATATGGGGCTCCAGCAGCGCAGAAATAGGGTGCTAGACTTTTTCGACCTCGCCTCGAGGACGTGAGGTATACGGCAAATTCCGCCCGTTTTTGAAAACGCTTCATACAGCATTAGCCTTTGACTTTTCTTTCGTCAGCCTCTCCAACATTTTTTCCCGGCTCTCTGGGCAGTCTTGCACCCAAACTAAGAGGTGCTTTAACTTCTGAGTATCAAAATCTGACCTTTCCTGTTAGATCATTTTCGACCCACTTTTTTCCAGGTCTCTGAACCGCCTCAGAACTAATTCATAAAAATTCGTTGCCCGTTCTGACGCACGTCCTACCCATTAGCAGTTTGATAATGAACAGACTATTTCCCGATCCAAATAGTTTGTGGACAATTTCAAAAAATGCAAAAATTAAGCGAAGACAGCGAGTCCTTCCGGGGACGCGCATGCGTACCACGCTCTCCTTAAAGCAACAGTCCAAGAACGAATTTGCGGCAAAAACCACCGATAATGAAGTTGTGGGTGCAAAGTTGACCAATAATGAAAGAAAAGTTAAAAAAGACGTCGAACAGGGACTTAGACAGGGGCTCCCCCTCGCCACTTAGCAATGGAGGAAGACGCTCGTTGGACGAGTTGTATGAACATGCCCGCAGTAAATGCGCCCCAATTGCAATAGCTGGCAATTGCTGGCAAGTAGCCAGCTATTGCAATTGGGGCGCAATAATGGGATCGTTTCATGTTTTGGGTAGAAGGTAGAAGGAAAAAATGTAGAAATTCAGCGTTGTCGGCATCACTACATCGATTGCTTTAAAGGATCGACCTCAAATAGTCCCGGCGCGTCCCGCAACGACCGCCAATCAACTACGCGCTCTTCACAGCAGCAAGGGGGCGGCTCCACCGAGGCTCGGTGGACCCGCCCTTTTCGAAGAAGTTCGAGCCCTTCCTACGCATTTCAAAGGTAAGTTTTCAATTCAGTGACAGTTCCTATGAACTTTACTTGGGCTGGGGCATGCTTCCACACCTCAGGATTGAATTGGTTGAAACCCTCCTTGGACTGTTGCTTTATTGTGTTACTCAAGGAGAGTGTTCTTGGTTGAATGAAGGTTTCTGCGAACGATACTCACCGAACATTTTCTGCGACTGTGGCACGAAAGATCACTGGTTCCTGCTGAACAACGCCGACCACTCCACGCCACCACCTCACATTATACTCTCGCAGTGGAATGCCGTCAAGAGCTACCTAAAGTTGTCCTCTGAGTTCAAAAAAGGAAGAGAGTCTTGAAAGTTGAGGCTCCAAAGACGAAAAACTCGGCGGTAAAACTCTCCATCTTTTCCCTCTTCACCTCACCCTTCGCCGTCGGCCGAACAATCAGGAACTTCGCATAATGTCTAATCGTAAGTGACCTGACTGTGGCCTCATATCTTCCCAGACGTTGATAAGTGATAAAGCTTTGCAGACTCACGTGTCTACCAATAACGAATGCCCCCAAAAGGGACACCATTTGGAATTTCCTTTTTTTGTAAGTCATATGTTTGTAAAAGAGTTGAGGATTTCCTATAATAGAAGTAGAGAATCCACTTCTAAGAAATGGACAAATGCGTAGGTATTAACTTCTGACTCTCGGCTTTTGAGTTCAGCACACTGTACATGATGTGACCGAGCTAGTTATAGCGCAATTTTCGCTTCATCTCTATCTGCTGTCAGGTTTGAGTTCGCGACTGCAACTTTTAGGCTCCATATAAAAGCTCACCGGCGGCGCGGACGCGTTCGCGTGTTGGTGACGTCACTGTGGCGGCAGGGAGCGAGCAAGGGCCAGCTTTGCCACCAGTACTTTAGTACATTAAATATTCCGAGCATCTATCGTGCTCTTACTCCACTGTGTAATGAGTAGATGGATGTACGAACCTTGTTTGTCAACCTTGTTTCAATTATTTTGACCTTGACTGTGTACTAATAAAGTTTGCACATGGGAGCCTTCAATTCCTTTACATTTGAAAAAATTCCATTTCCTAATTTCTGCACGTAACGCAATCATTCGCTCGCAGAACAGACTGAACAAGTTGGTACTACACTAAAAAAAGCAGAATAACTTGAGCGAAGTAACAACGTCGCTGGCCATCATTTGCCCTTCCTTCGAGCCTACCGCCGCTGCAACGTCACTTTAATGTCACCAACAGCGCTCGCATCCGCGCCGCCGGGGAGCTTTTCTCTCTACCCGATTTGATACTGCTCGGCACCGTCACGGAAAGAACCGCGAAGTCTTCGTATGAAAGCTCTCCAGTTTCGGAAAAATATCTGGTACGAACCACTCCGGC